TGTGATTTACGTGGTCCATAGAGAGGCGCAGTCCAGTGTGGTTAACTGAACCTGCGGGCAACGAGATTGTGTTGAATCATTTTAGATCTACAAATATAATTTTAGAAGAAAACTCCCTTTAAATTATCTGAGTGATACAAGCCTAAGGTGTGATGGTTTATGTTTAACACAGTTCATAGTCTACGCCTATGCATTTTGATGATGTCTGTTAATCTGTGAGTGTACGAATATACGATATTTTTGTTTAATTCTGCCACCTTCACGAACTGACTCACACAATGTTCTTCAGTATAGCAGCCAAACGATCTAGCCCGTGGCAGTAGTTCAACACCTTGCATCTCGATTATCATTAGGTCTCTTCATGAAAAAACGCCCTTCACATCTCCTGGAAATGCGCTAATGTTCCAGTAAATAGTCAATCTGATTTGCATTGGTTACCATTAAATGAAGAAATTTTTTTTTTCGAACAACGATAATGCTAGGCTCTCTTTATCCCTGAATGATTTTACTAAATGAACATAAACCTCGTATAATTAACGCCATGAATCTAAGCGGAAAGCCTCTTTGTGTGGTTCTCTGAGATCCTATAATCCATAATGCAAACATATCCACTTTGCCAATATGTACCGTGCCGTCATCAGTCATCTTAGTCACCTTAGTCATCGTTTGACCATTTCGTTTTTCAAACCACATGACATTTTGCACTCACTGTCTCACGCATTAGTTCTTCACGGTGGATATATTAAAGGCAGGGGTGTTCTATATATAGATAGAATTCATATATCTTTCATATCTCCTTGCTCGCTCCCCATATCCGACCGACTTTACATTGATTAATAACAATCCTTTATCCATGGTGAACTCTGCCAAATATCTCGATGTAACCATAGATAGCAATCTTCATTGATTAACCCACATCCACAACTGCATTGGTAAACTGCGACGCCTCTGATTTCACATACGAAAGCTCAAGCAGTTTCGCGCATCATTTATTTCTACTTTTGTTTATCAGTGTGTTTTCTCCATCTTACTCCACTGTTTCCCAGTTATTTTTCCTGGTTTACTCAAACAGGATTTCAAAGTCTTACGACGCGGTCTAACCATTATTAGTCGTGTCTCTTCTATTCCTGTGAATGAATTAGCTGTAAAACTTTCAAAGTCTCACGTAACTTCCTGTGTGAAATTTTCAGAGAGGATTCTCACAGATCCTGACCACCCATTGCATGCAGAACTGACACTTTGTTGTTCCCATCATTCAAAACGCTCTCAATTCCGCCAAATTTCGTCTCGAATTAATACATACCGTAATTCACCCATACCGTATCTTGCTCGTTCACTCATAAACAAAGAGCGGACAATAAGTGAACTTAGTCCTAACCTTGGATTATGCCCCATGCCTGTAAAAGCTTTTCTCTCCGCTGATTACGTCCATGGTGACGGTTAGCGTATATGATTTTTTTAGCTGAAATGTGAGCTCCAGTGCTTGCAAAGTTATACACAATACAATACACAAGTAAACGGCATTCCCTAAGATTATCCACAAAATAATAATTAATAGTTTGAGAAATCGGAAGCACAATTTCCCCGTAATTCAATTGGACAGAGAAGCCAAAAATAAAGTTTTACACAATGTATCCTGGATCATTGCGTTGCATCTCTACACGTGCATACTGCACGTTATGTGATCATTAATATATGGTCAGTAAATAGCGGAACCGTAGGTGGAGAAAGATTACATTCAAAATCACTCACCAAACGTATTTGTTACCAAGGTATAGCCATATTGATAATCCATTCACATTGTTTACACAGTTGGAGATGGTAATACCGAGAGGCTAGTGCCTCAGCGTAATTCAGAACCTTGTTGTAGTTTGTTTTGTAGAGGGTACTGAACGCGTCGAGCAGCATGACATAGCGCTTCATTTCGATCAGGTGTTGTGTAATCGATGAACTGATTTTCCTACGGGTCATCGGTGACCTCATACTGCCGAGGCTCCCTCATTGTTTNGTTACCAAGGTATAGCCATATTGATAATCCATTCACATTGTTTACACAGTTGGAGATGGTAATACCGAGAGGCTAGTGCCTCAGCGTAATTAAGAACCTCGGTGTAGTTTGTATTGTAGAGGATTTTGAACGCGTCCTTTTACTGGAGACAATTGCGATCACTCATCCAATCATGGAAGAAAAGAACATTCGAGTTGGAATACCAGCGGATGAGCTGGGATGACTTTTATTGTTGTATACCCATAATACAAAGTTCTCCTTCTTAGGTAAACAATATCAACAAATAGATTGAGTTGCTATGGGCAGTCCGCTGGGGCCCATTATCGCGGACATTTTCGTCGAACATCCGTAACATCAAGTGCGGGACGAAATTGAAAAGCTGGGTTTAAACAGCCTGCATATTGACGGGAGAAATTGTTTGAACGCTTGGAGAATCTTCAACCAAACAACGTTGACACGCTACAATGAAACGAAAAACAGTGTCGCCTTTCTGGAAGTGGATGTCTCACGTCGAACGGATGGATTTGTGCACCGAGAGAAGACATGGTCCGGACCATATCCTCATTATACTAGCTTTACCTCAATCGGATAAAAGATCGGTCTAGTTCGAATGCTTTTCTTCAGGGCGTGGAAAATTTGCACAGCAGATACCTTGAATAACGAATGTGGCAAGCTTAAAAAAGTTTTACCGTTCAATGGATATCTGAAAGGGTTCATCTTCCAAATTCACCGGAAAAGATACCAGATACAGATAAGATGATGAGAGTGGTCCTGCAACTGACCTTCAAGGGTAACGATATCAGTTGGCTGATTACCAAACGCTTAGAATTGGCATTCAGGCGCACCTACTTCGCAGTTGATCCCATCGTTATTTTTACAATCGCCCGGTTGTCAACACCCTCGGTGAAAGAACCCCTGTCTCTCCACGCCAAATCTAGTTGGATCTATCAGCTCAAGTGTGGATGCTCGGTCATCTGCATTGGCAGAACGGAGAGACAACTGCGTTGCGAGTAACCGAGCACATCCCGGTCTGGCTTCAGAAAACAATGAGGGAGCCTCGGCAGTATGAGGTCACCGATGACCCGTAGGAAAATCAGTTCATCGATTACACAACACCTGATCGAAATGAAGCGCTATGTCATGCTGCTCGACGCGTTCAGTACCCTCTACAAAACAAACTACAACAAGGTTCTGAATTACGCTGAGGCACTAGCCTCTCGGTATTACCATCTCCAACTGTGTAAACAATGTGAATGGATTATCAATATGGCTATACCTTGGTAACAAATACGTTTGGTGAGTGATTTTGAATGTAATCTTTCTCCACCTACGGTTCCGCTATTTACTGACCATATATTAATGATCACATAAC